TATATATATATATATAAGTATATATATATATATATATATACACCTCTGATTCCAACAGAAGGTGGATCTAGTGCTAGACCATGCAGTGATACATTTGCTGGTTCCAGAGCATTTTCAGAACCAGAAACCAAAGCTATTTCTGATTACATTCTAAAGCAGAACAAAAGATTTGTCGCATTTCTCGATATTCACTCCTACTCACAGTTATGGCTCACTCCTTGGGGTTGGACAAATAGCTTACCCAACGATTATGACGACATGGTAAGTGTGCCATCCCAATTTTTCATCTCTTTAAACGAGATGAACTTTTTTTTACTTCATCGAATATAATCCTTTATATTGATTAGTAAAATAAATGATAAAGAATTTACTCTTTATTATTAAATATGAACTTTATTCATGTACTGCGGTGTTGAGTTCTAGTATGTTGCACTGTTTTACGAACGTCTATGATTAGAATCATTAAAGCTAATCTTCAGAGTCACTCTCATAGTCAAACAAGTTATTGATTTAATTGGCTAATAATATACATTGACCAACAACATTTAAATTCTCTAAAAATACTCTTTTCTGGTAGGGTCAATGTGACTAATTATGAACAAGTCCCATACCTTTCTTTGAAAGGACTGAGCAAAATATAACGGTCTACTCATTTTTTTTTTACCTTATACAAAAGCTTGACCACTCTTGCAATTTTTTAGTGACATTCTTTTCACCATATACATTAATGCTGGTTACTTACATCAAAAAAATATCCTCCATGAGCTTGGATTCGAGTTCATGCATCACCTCCTACATCAGAAAGCCTCCACACGGTTTCTTATAAGTAGTCTGCGCAGATTATTTAAAAAGCGAACCACTTGTGCGCAAGAACCCAAATTTTATTTTTAACGTACTTGAGACAAATTTATCATATATATTTGAGAATTGAATCTGTAGTGGTTGACAAGTAAATAAAACAAGCCAATTATATTCATAAATTAAACAAATTTTTAGACACATATTTGCTACCTCTTTCAAATTTTTAATAGATTTCGTATTTAATGGTTCTTTTACTAATTGGTTTGCCTTCATAATGGTCTGATCGGACTACCTACAAAAAACCGTGTGGATGCTTTCAGTTATAGGAGGCTTTGGTTCATGTCTGTAGAACTTCCCTCACCTCCTCTGTTCTGTACTATGCAAATACAAGAAGAAGATTTCTCGAAGTGATGACCTGCTGGAATTTATAAATTACAGAAGACTCTTATAAATGGAAAAATTACGTTCAAAATTTAAACACAAATCACAATAATGAAACTTCCTAGAATATCACGCATGTTTACACAATGCCTCTTAAGCATTACATAAGCGAAGGGATACATCGGAAGTTTTCAAATTTTCTTCCCGTCTTATAGAAAGCTTGTCATCCAACCCTATTTCGTGGACATAAGATTTAGAACAAAGGTTCTATGAAACTATATTGGTGACAACCAAATAGAGTAAACTTTCAAATATTTAAAATTACTGTGCTTTCAGAATAGCTTAATGTTACTAAAATGTAGTAATATATTATAGATTGAAGTTGCGAATGAAGCAACAAAAGCACTATACGATGTTTACGGAACAAAATACAGAACTGGATCGTCCACAAATGTTTTATGTAAGTATAAAAATAAGAGATTTTGTAAATAACTTTATATGGGGTTTGTCTTAAAAAATTAAAAAGAATATCGTCTCTGAGTTATTTGTATTTAAAAACATTTCTCTTTTCATAATACCACTATTACGTTCAATGACATGGTAGACGTTAATTTTTTTTGTACTTACGTTTTTTTAAAAATAAAATAAAATTTAGTGGTGAATACAAATGTAATAAAGTATCAAGTTTTATCTATGGTTATTTATGAACTATTAAGCCCCCACAGAAACCAGTTTTGTAATATGTGGTTTATTTAAATAGTAGTTTTAGTCCATTTCTTTCTGAAAATTTGATGTTTGAAAAATAAATAACGATAAAAAGTGAAAATTCATTACAACTTTTCAAAATTATAATAAATTGTTAAATATCTCAGTGTATTATCATGTATTTTACCATCTATTCTTTATTTAATTATCTTCTCGTTTATTAGTGTTATACTGTTATTTCCTTATATATGTTATTATTCTACTTATTATTATTTATTTTTGTATACATAACCATCTACAGGAGGGTTACAAAATAATACGAACACTTCTATACTAACTTTATTTAAGAAATATTTCTTTAATCAGCAAATGTTTTGGAAGATCTTACATGGCAAAACTCTTTGAGATATTTCCGTTTCGTGATCTGTCTCGCCAACTTCAATCGCTAAGGTGCCAAATAGATTTTAAACTTGCCAATTTAAAAAAAAAAGAAAAACATCTAAATGTTTGCTAGCGGTGGTACGAGTAATACCTTTCGAGTTGGTCCCTTTTTGTGATGTATTTTTTTATTTTTAGCTTCTCGCAGGCCGCTGCCCGGAAATTGCCAAGACTTGGCGATTATTCGGCCCAGATACGGAAATCTCCCCTAACTCTTGGCCCAATTTGAAAGATCACGTTTGAATCTTTTAGAAATTGTGTCCTTTATATTCATGCAAAATTTGCCTCGACCATAATGAAGAAAAAGGGTTCATAACTTTTTTCTTTTTCAACACCACTATAATTTTTAAAAAAAAGCATTTACTATATAAATTATCCATTCTCTTTAATCATGCTTAAAAATATTCAAAAAAAAACTTCTATTACTTGTTTTTCATACAAAATATTCTTTTCCAGACGTGGCAACTGGTGGTTCTGATGACTGGGCTTATGGAATAGCCGGCATAAAATATTCATACACAATCGAGCTTCGAGATACGGGAAGGTATGGTTTCATGCTTCCTTCTGAACAAATTATTCCCACTGGAGAAGAAACATGGGCGGGCATTAAAGCCATGGCTAGAGCAATACAAAAGAAACTATAGGAACATTATATATGTCATCCATTGTTTTAGACTGTGCACATTTTAACTTATTAATAAACACTTTACTGTCTTTCTAGATTTAGCACGTTATCCTAGGGAACAGTCAACTATATTCAGTCAAATATTAACTTACCGTCACGAGAAAAACTTAGCCGGCCTTTGAGAGCCTTACCGAGAAATGAGAAAAATCTGGTTGTAACTATTTTAATTTATGGGATCCGTGGTTATCATGACTTGTTATTGAATATATAAAATATGTTTCTTGCTTACAAAAAGGATATCTAGATAAATAGATTGAAATTATCTTAAGTAGAAATAATGTAAGCTTTCGCTTGCGTTTTAAAAAGTCATGCCACAAGAGATTTTACATGCTATTACACCACTAATTTACCAGGGCTGCTAAATGCTACTCTTTTTTACAATATTTTACAAAGTGGTAGGCAATTAAAAACTAAAGCTTTCAGGATTTTGTAATTTTACTATCATTTTAACCCTTTCAGAAATATTGGTAAGTGCAATCGAAGAGATGTGAAAGAGTTGAACAGCAGTTGATCCATCTCGGATAAGTATAGCACACCTATGTTTTCGGACGGGGTTGTCTTCAGAGTTGAAGTTGGGGTTGAGTTGAAGGTTGAATTGAATGAATTTTCGCTATGTGTGATATGGCCTTTAGACAGTATAAATTCTTGGAGATGCGACATACTTTAACTCTTTGTGTTTAAAAAATGGTGGTCACTTAAGTATAAAGGTAATTGTTTGAACATTCTAGTAGTTTGTAGCATTTGTTGAATTAGTGTTGCCGGACTGCATTGTATTGGAAAAGGTTAAAATCCTCATCATGAGAGATCTGGAACACAGTGGCATTTCATACGAACTTTTCAATCATTTACACATTTTGGCTCAGAAAATCAAATTTGCAAAACAAGAAATCGTATATGAAATTTAAAATTAGGTACTACTGGAAGAAATTTTACCCAAAACCGTGGTAAGTAGGAAAAACTGACAAGAATGCAGCTTGCATTAGGGAAAATTAACATATCCATGACTAACAAGATTTCTTAAAAATTTATAACATACATATGGGATTTTTTTCCCGCAAAAGGAGTAAATATTTGAGCAAGGTGCTATTTGTTATTTCCAATTTTGTCAATTTCTTCGAACTAAGTGCTTGAACTTCTTATCCAGCAATCACACATAATTTTGACCCGAACCAGTGAATGATCAATCTCCCATTCAGTAACCCCAGAGGTATTGATTTATTATAGGAACATGGAGGAATTTGTGACCAGACAGATTTAGCGTGTACCAGTCACCATTAACTACACAGGGAATCTTTGACCGGCGGGGAACTGTCTCTTCAGTTGATAATTCTTTCAATTACCAAGAGTTCGTGGGTTCAATCCCCTACGACCGAAGACTCCCCGTGTAATAAATGGTGACTGATGCACGTTAAATGTATCGAGTTACAAAGTCCTTCATGTTCCNAACTAATATAATAATATTTAAAATCAGGTATTTATTTTTCTTCTAGTAGAGGATAGTCTACTTTACACGACTGCCAATAAATACTAATAATATATTAAATTTTTTGTTAGTTAAAAATAGTTAAGTAAAAAATGTTACAATTGACCCCACTCTCCCCTACATTCCTGGAGAAGCGACAAACTTTAACTCTTTGTGTTTAAATTAAAAAATAGTAGTTGCTTGAGTATAAAGGTAATTGTTTGAACATTTCTGGTAGTTTGTAGCATTTGTTGAATTAGTGTTACCGGACTGCATTGATTGGAAAGGGTTAAAATCCTCATCATGAGAGATCTGGAACACAGTGACATTTCATATGAACTTTTCAATCATTTACGCATTTTGGCTTAGAAAATTAAATTTGCAAAACAAGAAATCGTATATGAAAAATAAAATTAGGTACTACTGGAAGAAATTTTACCCAAAACCGTGGCAAGCAGGAAAAACTGACAAGAATGCAGCTTGTATTAGGGAAAATTAACATATCCATGACTGACAAGGTTTCTTAAAAATTTATTACATACTTGTGGGATTTTTTTTTCCGCGAGGGAGTAAATATTTGAATAAGCTGCTTTTTATTATTTCCAATTATTTCAATTTCTTCGAACAAAGTGCTTAAACTACTTATCCAGCAACCACACGTAATTATGACCTGAACCAATGAATGATCAATCTCCCATTTAGTACCCCCCGGGGTATTGATTTGTTATGGGAACATGAAGGACTTTGTGACCAGACAGATTTAACGTGTACCAGTCACCATTAACTACATAGGGAATCTTTCGCCGGCGGGGATCAAACACCCTACCAACAAGGACATCCACTCCTTAAACTGTCTCTTCAGTAGATAATTCTTTCAATTACCAAAAGCTCGTGGGTTCGATCCCCTTCGACCGAAGACTCCCCGTGTAGTAAATGGTGACTGATGCACGTTAAATGTGCCGAGTTACAAAGTCCTCCATGTTCTCATAATAAATCAACTCCTCTGGGGGTACTGATCCAGGAGTTACCTTGTCTTCTGGATTGGTTCAAAATTACAAGGCTACGGAGTTGAACATTAGTAGTGGTAAACCCAAAACTGGGTCGGCTGTTCAACGACGAATATAAAATAAAATCTTTACTAGGTGAGCCGCGATGGCTCAGGAGATAGAGCGTTCGCCTTCCAATGAGGTGAACCGGGTTCGAATCCCAGCGATGGCTGGTCGATGCGAACTTCGAATCCAGCTCACACCGACCACGGTGCTGACGTGAAATATCTTCAGTGGTAGACGGATCCTGGGTTAAAGTCTCCTGGCCGTCAGGCTAACCATGAGAGGTTCTCGTGGTCTTCCTCTCCATGTAATGCAAATGTGGGTTAGTTACAGCAAAAAGTCCTCTACGAAGGCAAATTTCTCCCAATACTTGATCCAGGAGTTCCTTTGTCTTCTGGATTGGGTTCAAAATTACAAGGCTAAGGAGTTGAACATTAGTAATCGTAAGCCCAAAAATTAGATCGGCTGTTCAACGACGGTCATAAAATATGTACTAGGAGTGGCGGGAATAGCCTGGTTTGTAGAGCACTGGGCACATGTCCAAGAGGTTATGAGTTCGATCCTTGCCGGCCGAGGACTCTCCATGTAGTAGATGGTGACTGATGCACGTTAAATCTGTCGCGTCACAAAGTCCTCCTTGTTTCTATAACAAATCACACCTCTGGGGGTACTGATGCAGGAATTTTCTTGGATTGGTTCGAAATTATAAGGTTACGGAAGTGAATATTAGTCGTCATAAACCGAAACATTGGGTCGGCTGTTTAATGACGGTTATAAAAAAAAAATATTCACTATATTATTATTGCACTCTCCGCAGGCTATTGCCCGTAATTGATTATCTTTCATAATTGTTTATTTCTTCTTAAGCTTCAATATTTTCACGAAACGCAGAATATTTTGGGTTTTAAAATATAGATCTATTGCATCTTTATATAAACATGATAAATTCCCACCCAGTAGTTGCATTCCTGAGGTTAGTATGATATTTTTTCCAACAAGTTTAAAAGTAGATAATTTTCCAACAAATTATCGAATGTTAATTCTTATAATTACATCGTAATCCTTGTACACTTTAGTATACACCTTATAGTAATTTTGAATTTCTAAGTCTTATAGTTTTTGCGCAATAAATCAAAGTGTAACGCTACATTGAACACTTAAATAAAGTAGATTGTAAACTTATTGATTTTCAAGATAATTATTTCCTTATTACTTTTTATAAGTCACAACTTAACATGTTATGCTGACCCACATTCGTCGTTTACCCGTATCAATCGTTCGTCGAAATGAATGGTTTCGATTTCTGTTAATTTCAACCTCAGTCTGTCATGTTGTTACTTCAAATAATCAATATTTCCTAAAATTGTTATATAGCTTACTCTTGTCAGCAATGCCATCTGTTTATTAACTTTTCAACTGATTTTTAACATTTGGTGAGAATAAATCTTACAGTTCTTAAGCAGAGTGCAGTATACTGAAATGTAGAAAGTGAGTGTTTTAAATATAAACAAAACCAACATTTAAAACGTTTGTACAATTTTATTTACTTAATATGTACAATAACAACGCCTTGAACAGATTTCAAGCATATTACACAGGAGTATTTGTAAATCCATTTTTATACCTCTACAAGAAAGTACCTGAATGACTGAATAGGAAAAAAACATTCAAAAATAAACCAGTCCTGTTTAAAAGAAGAGCGAGACTGATTCAACCTGAACAAGGAATGAAATAACATGCAAACAGCACTTCAAACAAAGTAAGTTCAATATGATACAAATCTAACCACTCAATCATAAGTATATTACAAAAAATATGAATCTTTACACAATTTTATTTATTATAACATTATGTCTAAGTGACATTTTTGTGAAGAGAAAAACAGTAAAATACAAGGTGTTTTGCAACCAGCGCCCATAATATATATTTTTAAAATCCTTGCAAAAAATATGCACATTAGAGTCAAAGTAAAGAAAAAACAAAAATACTTTTAAGTCACTAGAAAGAAAGGCGAGACGGAAAACTATAAAACCTGTGTTATTGCCGAAAGCGGTTGAAAAAATAATTATTTAGGCATTTCAACTGATTTTTTGAAGTTTAATCAGACATTTCTCCCTAGGGACTCAACAGATTTTGACAGTATTTTTGATTTTTCCTTGCTTTAATATTAATTTATAACAACCAACGTGAACATTTCGACTTAATTTTGGATAAGGACTTAAATAATATACAAAGAGCCATTACAAAACATCCTGGTATTAATCAAATAGGATAGTTTTGGCTACACAGCACCTGTTTAAACATTCTAGCATGCCCATCTTAACCCTGCAATTTTTAATGATGCAATTTAATTAATAAAAAAACTACTAATTATCTATTTAGTAACAATTTAAGAAGGAAATTGCTGTTAAGGGATGTGAATTTGTTCTGTTGACAGTTCTATCATTTTTCATTATCTGTAAATAATTAAAAATAACTAATTTTCCCTCAGCTGCAACATTTTATTGTTTTAAACACTGATA